GGTATTTGATTAGATAGTGGATAAAATGTCTAATTGAAGTAGCCATTTTGTTGGTTCAAAATGCAACGAAGTGATCCCACCCTTCAAGAACAGAACTCATTTTGTATAATCAATAAAAATTGTCTTTCCAGAAAAGAGTAGCTTTAGTTGCATTAAAGAGCACCATCACAGACATCAGAAGTTCTAGATAAAACATTGCGCCATACTTTCCTTCTCTATACTCTGAAAAGCAAACAGAAAGAAAATCACCTCCACAAAGTGAAATTGCATCAATATGAAATTCTGAGTTTGAATGAGGGGTGGAGGTCTGTGTCTCATAGCAGACAACAAAGATGAGAAAGAGGGTGCCTTCCAAGCATCAGAAACCTGTGTTCATCAAGAACCCGATGTTGAATGGAACCGTTTGAGGACAAACCTTCCAGGTTTGGTGTTTAGAATGCAGTAGAGCAGCCATCTCGTCACGATCTGCAGGGAGTCAGCCCGAGAGGTTACAGACAAACCAGAAAGAGCAGTGGTGGAGAGGAAGGAAGACACAAAGGAAATGTGACCGCTGCCTTTGATGATCCGAACAGCTTGTTCTGTGTGGCTTCATCAGCTTCGAATGAGGACTAACAATGGATGAAAATTAAAGGGAATGAGTCTCAGCTCATTTTACCAAAGAACTTTTGAATAGTTGGAAGTTTGCAATGATAGGGCAAACTGCCTTTCTGGGTGCAGGATAGTGAGTGCCCTGTGGTGAGGTGTTCGCACAGCAGATAATTACACGGGTAATTACTTGTAATATGAACAAGGTTGTGAGGATGAGGAGGGAGCACTGTTGCTCTGAGTACATCATATTGTGAAACTCTGACTTTAGAACTACAGTCATGTTTCACCTATCCTCTAAACATCCCAAACTGCACAAAGAGGTAAAACCAACCAGCATGTGGCAGAACCCAAACCGACATATAAGCAGTAACAATTGGATCTTACTTATTACAAATGGATAATATAACCACACTAAAAGGGGTAAGGAAAAAAAACTAACCTAGGTAACTTTGGCCAACAGTATCTTGATGGGATATTATAAAGCTAAAGACCAAAAGACTATAGATAAAGGTTGTAATCTAGTTAGTAAGTGTGCTTCTCACAGGAGCATGAGTTAGCAATTCTGGAACTACTTTATACTAGAATTGAACAAATAACTATATCTATTGTAGATAATGATGTCTGGGTTTTTCCCTGTTGGAGAGAGAAGCTACAAATAAAGAGGAAGGCTAGAATGAACCTTGGTTGTTGGATCGAAATCAGAAGTATCAGTATGAACTTATGGTCTTTAATATAGATAGACAGATAGAGAAATGCAGATGTGTGTGTATAATTGGGTTAGCATGCATATACATATTTCCCAGCTGTGTTTACTGAGAGCACCTAGAAACAACATCCCAGTAGCAATGAGCATGCCTAGCACCTAGATCTTGGTTTCTAAACACCATTCTCCAATAAAAGGAATCAGAGCTCCTTGAGGAAATAGTTAATTCCAGACCTGGGGTAGGGAAAATACAAGATGAGTCTGGAATATTCTATGGTAATAGAAAGTAATAAAGTGCTCAAAAAGGATGGAGCTTCTTAAAAGGACACAGAAGGCAAACTGAAGAAATTCTTAGTAGCCAAAGCTGGAACAATGTGAGCAACAAAACTAACAGGGATAGCACTGGATTATAACTGAAAGAATAAAATCAATATGAGTCAATATTGATATATTTAAACCACTGAATAAATAAATGAGGGAAAAGAGACAGCTCTTCCCTGCAATAGAATTACAATTAATCAATGTGGAAGGAAAGAGTGAAATAAAAAACTCACTGTTAGGTATAATAATTGTTACAGTCAAAATCCACTAATGGATACTAAAATTAGTGGGTGTTAAATTTGTGGATAAACAGGATAATTCCATAATGTCAAAATATCTCTCCACAAGATATTTATTAATCACAAAGTGAAAAATAGTAGCTGCATAATCAGAAACCCTGAAAATACCACCTTAACCAAGTGATCAATGTTAACATCATCAGTAAGAAATATTGATGTTATAAATCCTTTGAAACGATGCACTGAGAAAGACAACATAATTTATGTGGCATTTTTGCCAAAAATGAAATTTCATTCTAATGATGAGGAAACTTCAAATGACCCCAAACCGACGGATAGTCTAAAAAAGAGGTGACCAGAACTCTTCGAAAGCGTCAAGGTCATGAAAGCAAAGAAAGGCTAAGGAATTGTCACCAATTGGAGGAGACTAAAGGGATGTGACAATGAAATGTAATGTGAGATCCTGGGTTGGATCCTGGAACAGAAAAAGGGCATTAGTGGGAAAATGGTGAAATTCCAGCACGGTCCATAGTTTAGTGAATAGTATTATACCAGTGTCAATTTGCTGGTTCTGAACACTGTACGAGGTCATGCAAGATGTTCAAATTGGGGGAAACTAGGCCAGTGGTTTTTGGGAACTCTGTGCTATTTCTGTAACTTTTCTGAAGTCTCAAGTTAGTTCAAAATAAAGAGTTAAACAAAGAAAATAATTATTAAAGTTTAATTAATTTGCAGGAATCATTTATGCACATGTGTGTGAAGTACATCCTGGAACAACTACTCAGCGAAATAAAATACCCAATGTTGCTGTGTTCCTATCAAAGAAGAGAAGTTTCAAAAAATACCCTCACTGCATTCATTTTAAATGTATATTAGTTCTAATAAGTGTAGTTCTTGCAGCAATATTTAGACTGCACTCTAAAGTTCCAAAACCAAAGTTAAGTTCATTGTTTGTAGACATAATAAACTACATTTTTCTCCTCTTTTGGGATTTAGGGAAGATCTCCCTAAATCCCAATGCACCCAAGGAGGTGCACTGGCGGTGAGATGGTAGGTCTGAGCGGGAGCTAGCTGAGGAGAGAGTGCGGAGGGGACATTCTAGGAGGGGGAGTGCAAGTATGAATCCCTGAGACAGGAAACGGCTTGGCTTGTACTAGGAACTGGAAAAAGGCCAGGATAGGAGGAATTAAGTGATGTGAGGTAAGGCTGGAGAGACAGGCAGGAGTTCGCCACGCAGGACCTTGTAGGAGAACTTAGAATGATTCTACGAACAGTGGACGCCTCTGAAGGGCTTTGAGCAGAGTAGACACATGACCCAGGAAGTCACCATCTCCTACTCTTTCTTATTGACTTTAAATGCCAGTTTATATAATGCTGGCCACAGTTCTTTACCTTCACCGAGGAATAAGATATGGAAATGGCCAATAGGGCAGAGGCATAAGGTATACTTCCTGGTGAAATTCTGTCCCTGGAGAGCTTAGAGAATGAACGACAGTGTGTCCACACCTGCCTTGTGGCAGCTGCACGGACATTCTGATTTGCATTAAACGTTTACTTGAAATGAAGTATGAGGATTTTCCTAAATGTTGATACCACATCAAGTTGTTTTTCTCTCTCTTTGGATGTTGTGGTATTATATAGCCTGATGCAACACTGAGTTGTGAGACTCTGAATTTTTAAAAAGTTCAAAAACTTAAAGCATTCGTGTGCCCAAGAGTGGCAAAGTCACAGAACTCTTAGAAAGCCCGCGTTGTTCAGCAGACACTGTAGATGATCCGTCAGTTAGGAGCTGGTAGTCTCCAGGTAACTACATACAACTTCTAAGGTGTTTTCCCAGCAGTCCTTAGGGTGCCTGGAGACCCAGGAGAGGACAGGAATGCCCTAAGAAGAGCTAAGAAAGGGTCTCTTGGGTCAGAAAAGTTTCTTCCTTTCTTTTATTTTTTTTGGCAAATTTTGTTTTGAAGTAAAGAATATTACTACCTTCTAATGTCAGCCCCCCAATCCAATTGAGAAGCAAGTTTTATTTCTCTGATTAAAAATGAAAACAAGAAAATTCATATCTGTTAGTAGATGGTTTGATTTTGCACAAGTCAGGAGCAGTCTCTTCCTGTTCAGTTTACCCCGGAATATTAAAAAGACAAAAAAACTATAATTTCTGATAAATTTAGGATTTAGAAGAGAAGCTTTTTTGTGTGTACAGTATCTATTGTTCAAAAATCTCTTCAAGGTCTGTATGCACAGTTTTCTTATCTTTGTAACCATACTGGACCATACTGGACTTAAATAACTTTTTCTTTGACTGCTAAGGACTCTGCACCTTCATGGACAGCTTTCTTCTTCCATTCACTCTTGTTGCACAGTTAAAAGATACAGAAGCCTAAACCAAGTCTGTCCAAAGTGCAGTATCCCAAGAAACGTTGCTATTGTTTTTAATTTTAAGAAAAAGGATCCAGATATCTCGCTTTACAAAACAAAACTAACAAAAAACATCTTTTTCTCATTCACCAGAAATGCAGAAGAAAAAAAAATCAATCAATGAATCATTCTGGTTTCCTGGATTCCAATTGTAAGAGAGTTTAAACTTTAAAAATACAAAACAAAAAAGTCCTTCAGTTACCTTATGTCATAAATCAGTTAAAACTTTTGTGACTTCTAAAAAATCAAAGAGCACTATCTGTCCATGATTATAACTGTGAAGGAAAGAATGACGTGCCCAGGAAAGGGGGAGCTTCCTTGAGAAGCGCTGCCTCTTCCCAGACCCCCTTCCTTCGGAGCAGACCCTCTCCGGGGGTTGACGGTCACCAACCGCCAGTTACAGCTGTGGCTACCACTCGGAGCGACCACCGCCCACCTTCCTCGGCCCACCTCCAATCTTCGCAATGGGAACAGTGAAAGGCGGAGTCGCGCAAACTTGACCCCGCGCCGGGACAAGTCTCTCCCCGGGGCTCCCGCCGGCTTCTCCGGGGAGAGTTCTCTTTTCTTTGTGAAGGGCAGGGCGAACCCGTTCCAGGGCGCCCTGCCCTTCACAAAGAAAAGAGAACTCTCCCCGGGGCTCCCGCCGCAGACCCCGAGCCTCGCCCTCCGCGCCCCGGAAAGTGAAACGCGGCTGGCGGGTCGGCAAAGCGCACCAGGTGGTGTCACTCACCTACCTGCTCGTCCCCACGGCGCCGCCACCAGCAGCAGCAGCAGCGGCGGCAGCAGCAGCAACGACAGGGCCGGGCGGCCTGGCGCCGGGAGACCGGGGACCCGCATGGGTGGCGGGGCTGGGTCACATTTCAGGGGACAGCCGTCTCCGTGCGACGCCCGCTCTGGCCACGCGCGGCGGCGACGCGGCCTCCCCTGGGCGCCCTGGGCTCTGCGCGGCGCTCCCGGAGGCCCAGCGCCCAGAGAGGCGGCGCCGCCGACCCCCGCCCGCGCCCCCGCCCCGGGAGCAGCGCGCGAGGGAGCTGCGGACGCCCCGGCCTCCGGAGCTGGGTGCCAGCGCCAGTCCACGTTCTCGCGGATTTATAGTACCCGGCCACTCGGGGTTTCAGTTCTGAGAGTCTGTGAGCTTCCACCTCCCGACCAACCAGGTCACTAGGCAGGTGACACCTCCCTCTACTAATGAGAGAGTGAGGTGAGCCGATTGCAGAGCGGTGCTGGTATTCAGGCCGAGGTGATGGTCACTTGAAATGTCAGAGTTCAGTACTGGGAGAATGAAATGGATAGTTATTTCTGAACATACTCATAGGCGCTCTGCCGTACGTTGTGCAGTCATGTGTCGCTTAACGAAGATGGAAATTCTGAGAAATGCATCGTTAGCCGATTTCATCATTGTGCAAATAACACAGAGTGTACTTACACAACCTAGGTGGTACAGCCTACTAATGCCTCTGTTGCTCCTGGGTACAAACCTCTA